TGTCCCTCTCCCTGAGCTGCAGATTCAGTGCTGTCCTCTGAAATAAATTCTTCTGGGGGGAGGGGCAGGTGTCCATGGAGTTGGGATTGAGGCCAGCCCCTGAGACCTCTCCACTATCAGCAACTCTTTAAAGCCAGTGGCTTTCAGGTCGATTCTGAATGATGGCGGCCCCCACGTGGGCGTGGCTCTGCATGTCACAGGGTTTTCTGTGACAGCTTTTTCAGAAGTTGATCTGCAGGCTTTTCTTCAGTAGTGCTGTCGATGGCGTTTCTCTTTCTCTTCTACTGTCACTGAGTCAATCCCCATACGCAGGGATCCTATAGGAGGGAGTAGAATTGTCCCATTAGGTTTCTGAGGCTGGAAATCAAAGATTGGGCAGACAGGCCAATCTTTCTCCTGTGAATCGGCCGGTGGTTCGAACCATTGACCTTGCAGGTAACAGCCCCAAACGTAACCACTGCACCACTAGGGCTCCTTCTAATCTTTAGCAGTTGGGCTCAATTACCATTATTTACACTTTTTAAATTAAAAATTCACTGCCACTGAGATGATTCCGAATCATCGCGACTCTACAGGACAGGACAGGGCAGAACTGTCCTGTGGGTTTCAGAGTCTATAACCTTTTATTGGAGTAGAAAGTCTGGGTTTTCTCCCAAAAGGCGGCTGGTAGTTTTGAACTGCTGTCCTGTGGTTAGTGGCCCAAGTGTAACCCACCACGCTACCATGGCTCCTTTTACCCGAGGATAAAGTTGTCCGAGAAGCATTTTAATACTTGTGAAATACCTAGCATTCCGCATGGCACCAGGTCTCAGCCCTGCTCTGCCACCCCTCCCTGTTCCGCTCCCTCCCGCCCTTCGCCCCGCCCCTCCCTTCCCCGCCCCGCCCCGCCCCGGCTTCGGGCGGAAGCAGTACGGTCAAAAGCTCGGCGCGCTTTACGGCTTCGCCTTTTACCTCAGTGTGGCAGGCTTGCTCGTCGTGTGCACTCTTTCCCCCGCTAGCTCCGAGGCCGGTTCACAACGCTTTACGGCAGTGTGGCTGGAGCGGTTGCGCACTGCAAGCGTTTCCAGCGTGAGTGGAGGGAATCCGCGTAGCCGGTGTTTGCTGGGCCAAAAAACGATGGACGTGGGAGAACTTCTCAGCTACCAGGTAAGAGAGGTGGACAGGACCAGGGTTTCGCCCCCTTCCCTGCATCTCCTTCGGGGGTCTGCATGCCACCCCGGATCAGAGCCTCTCATCCACTCCATTACCCCGGGAACCCCCTTGGGCCCTTTCATTTAGTGCATTGTCAAGGCCTCAACCCCCTTCTCATTCCGTTCTGAGCTCCGGTCACCCCTCCCTGCAGCCTGACCCCCCCAAACTTCTCTAAAGGCCCCCGATTGCTGTGCCTTCACGGCCACCCTCCACAATCTTCCAGCCATTGGGAAGAGCGCTGGCCTTTCTTGACTTAGCTCTGGAACTTCTGCTGGCTGGCTGTGTGGCTTTGGATAAGTCATTTCTTCCTCTGGGAGCCTCCGCTTCCCCAGAGACCGCTTTAGCCACTTAGTAGGATTGTTGGAGGACTATTGGCGAATGGAGGGTAAGGTTTAGGAAGCTGGACCCATGTTAACTGCTGTGTTTTGGAGATGTTTGGAACTCAAGGCAGAGCCGTCTCTGCTCAGAGCACTACTGGGGACACCCTCCCAGCGGCGCACTTATCCAAAGCCACTCAACTAGAAAGGCCTAGTAAGAGCTCAGGTCTCCTGGCGGCCAATCCAAAATGTAATCTTCCCACGTGCCTATTGACCACTTATAACTTGGCTACCCTGGATTGAGATGTCTTCTCAGTGTAAAATCACACTGGATTTTGAGAACAGAATGTAAACACATTTGGGGTTGGGGCACTGGTTGAATGATCTTATTTGTCAGACACTGAAATAGGACTTCAGCCATTTTTGTTGACTTTTGCTTTTAATGTGGCTCCGACTACACAATGCTGCTCAACATCTCTGCAATGCAGAACAAGCAATTCTCAGCCTAAGCATCATGAGTTTGGAGCCCCAGATTGCTTGCTGTGTTAGATTTGCTACTTCCGGCCTGTTGAACTTGGGGCAATATACTTAAATCTCCTTATGCTGGGCTTTTCTCTGAATGGAACGGCGATGGGACCGTGTGAAACATTAGTGACTTAGAGAGTAAACATTCAGATGGCTTAGTCACTGTCTCCTAGTCCTGGAGTCAGACACCAGGCTCAACTGATGGAAATACTGCCTGAAGATGGGTTGCGATCAGCTCATGATCCATAAGGTTTTCATTGGCTGGTTTTGGAACTAGAACACT